TCAAACAGGCATTTGATTCAATTAAAAGGAACATATTAATGATAGCACTTAAAAAATTAAAAATTCCACAAAAACTCAGAAAATTAATAAAAATGACAATGAGAACTACAAAAATAAGCAAAAAGACACAAAGAGCAGAGACAGAGGAATTCAGTATAAATAAAGGGATGAAACAAGGAGATGCCTTATCAACAACGCTATTTAATCTAGCATTAAAATATGTACTGCAAAATATAAATAAAGGAAATCTCAGAACAGGAGGTGGTCAAATAATTGCATATGCAGACGATATTGCTATTATTGCAAAGAACAGAAAAATAATGAAAGAAATGCTTAGAAATAAGAGAGAAAGGGGAGGTAATGGGGCTAAAAATAAATCAAGAAAAGACAAAAATATTAAGATTAGGGAAAAAACCAATGAAAGAAAAAATTAAAATAGGAAGTTCTGAGTTTGAAGAAGTAGAATACTTCAAATAACTAAGAGTTACAATAAGTAAATCCGGAGAAAGGAAATCCGAAATAAAAGAAAAAATATTAGCGGCGAAGAAAGCTTATTTTGCAAACAAAAAATTACTTAAAAGCAAAACACTGACTAAAAAAAGTAAGATGAGCATTTATAACACCATAATTAGACCAATATTATTATATGCAGGAGAAACAATGACGATGGTTAAAAAAGATGAAGAAGACTTGAGAATAGCAGAGAGAAAGATTATAAGAACCATACTAGAACCAATCAGAACAGAGCAAAATGAATATAGAAGCAGAACAAATGCAGAAATTAAGAAAGAACTTAAGAAAGACATCGTAACTAAAATAAAGCAATGCAGAGTTAGATGGTTAGGTCACATTTGGCGGGCAGGCGATGAGGCAGTGACATACGCAATGATAGAATGGAATCCAGGAGGAAAAAAGAGAAGAGGAAGACCGAGATCAAAGTGGCTGCAAGAAGTTGAAGAAGACCTACAAAGGGCAGGAGTCAGAGAATGGAGAGGAAGAACTAGAGACAGGAAAAAATGGAAAGATATTGTCAAGAAGATAAGATAAACAAAAAAGACTGATCCACTTAAGAAATAGGATCTAGAAAGCATTTGCGGTTTAACCCCACACTGGGGTATATATATATATATATTATATATATATATATATATATATATATATATATATATATATATATAAAGATCACATGCTTTGTGATATGTATATTGGGATTGTTGAATTTTGTTCTTGTTATACTTTGTTTTTTTTTTTAGTATGTAAGATTTTTAGTCTTTTTTTTAACTTTTTAATATCGTTTTTGTATTATATGTATTAAATAAATAAAATAAAACGTGAAATCAGAGAATCAATATAAATAGAAAAAAACCCTAACAGTATAAACCAAAGAGATGATGCTCAAAGGCTTCCAACAACATGGAACAAGGTATTAAGGAAAAAGTCAAAAAAACATCAGACCACAAAACCAACTAGTAGGACCCGCCTACCTACACACGGACAGGACCAATCACAAGAAGTCTTACGGCTATAAAAAGTAAACGCAGCGACCAGGAGAGTCAGTTAACTTCAAGCATCAGCGAGAAGCGCTACTATCTGACTTGACAATGGCAAGTGCGACCCTGTCGAAACGTCGTCAAAATAATCGTTTTTATCAAAACCAAAATTATTCAACGCAGAGTCAAACCCGGAAACCTACAGAAAGCACATATAACTCCTGCGGAAATTTATATATCTATGTATTATCATTACTATTATTCATTCAAAAATATATGATTTTAAAGAAATTGTAGTTTGTTCCCAATCATCATCATCAAGTAGCGCTACAACCCTGGGTGGGTCTTGGCTGACTGTACAACTTTTTTCCAATTTGTTCGGTCTTCCATCAACCTAGGGTCAAATGGAATGTTCATTTTCCGGAGATCTGCTTGGATGTTATCTCTCCATCGCATTCTGGGACGTCCGAGTGGTCTTTTGCCTGTGGGAATCTCCTCCCATACCAGTTCTACCAGTCTTTCGTTATGTAGTCTGTGCATGTGGCCTGCCCATTTTAGTCGCTGTGATTTAATTTCTTGTACAATATCGGCGTCGTTATAGAGTGCTTTTAATTCGATATTGGTTCTGATCTTATACTGGTTTGTGGTGATGTCATGGTGAAGTCCGAAAATTTTTCCAAGTATTTTTCGTTCAAAACGTCTGAGCTTTTCTTCATTTGCTTTGGTCATGGTCCATGTTTCGCATCCGTATGTTATTACATGTCTGACGATGGATTTATAGATTTTGATCTTTGAACTTGTTGTGAGATTTTTTGATTTTATGAGCTTATCCAGTGCAAATAGACAGCGGTTTGCAGATTGGATTCTGACTTTTATTTCTTCAGTGACATCGTTGTCAGCTGTGATTACAGCCCCCAGATGCTTGGGGTATCTGGGGGCCATATATATATTTGTTCCCAATACACATAGTAATTTATTATTATAAGCAGAAATATAATACATCTATTGTTACAGTGTAAAGTAACCAACAAAGAGGATTGACTAATTTCAGTATTTCTTTGGTATAAAAAGATAACAATTTGTTTCTTTGTTATAATGGATGATAGAGTTGTTTGTCTGGTGTGTGGAGAAACAAAGACTGTAACTATCATTGCCAGACAGTAGTGGAATGGGACTTTTAAATTGGTTGTGTTAGTTTGCAGTTCATTCCTTGTTGTGAGGTAGTATTTTATTTTGAGCTACAATGCAATATTTTTATTGCTTTATTATCATGTCTGAGAAAAGAAAAAAAGTTGTGTTGATGATTAATCAAAAGTTAGAAATTATAAGTAAAATTAAAAATAGTACTTCCCATAAATGTATGTGCCTCAGTACAGTATTGGTGAGTCAACAGTGCAAGACATTTTAAAACAAATGTAAAATTTTTTTCATTTGCATCAATGTAAGAAAGCACTTCTGCCATGAAGAAAAGAGAAACAATTAGGACCTCATATTACATAGAATTAGAGACAGCGTTTATAGAATGCATAGCTCAAGTTTGTAACATGTGTACAGCCATATCAGGTCCAATAATTGTTGTAAAAGCAAAACAGTTTTTTGACGTGTTGGGTTTAGAAGGGGATTTTGATGCATTATCTAGTTGGTTGACTCGCTTTATGGCAGTGATACTCATCATATATTTATAGACTACAAAGTAGCCTACAACTCTATGAATAGAAGAGAAATGTTCAAAGCAATCTAGCAGTACCAATACCAGTTGGTAAATTTAACAAATCTAACTCTTGAAAAAGTTGAATGTAAAGTACGAATTCAGGGGGAACTAAACCTTTTAAAACAAATAACTCCTGGCCTATGCTGATGATCACTTAATGTTGGAAGAACATAACAAACTGTATGGGAGGTTTATTTAGCATTAAAGGAATCAGCTAAAAAAATTGGTTTTAATAATACATACCAACAAAACGAAGTATATGAAAATAAGCACGCAACCACAAATACTACGACCACATATTATAGAAAATGGCGTCACGAGTCATTTGTATACCTGGGAGTGTTCCTTAAAACTGAAAATAATACTACTACAGAGATAAACTGCAGAATTTGCAGCCAGCAGATGTCATTTTGGTCTCAATCTTCTCCTTAAATCCACAATTATATCGAGAAATACAAAAATAAAACTCTACAAAACAATAATATGCCCAGTCCTAACATATGGTTCAGAGACATAGACTCTAACAAAAAATAATGAAAACATGTACGGATGATTTGAAAGAAAAGTACTAAGGCGAATTTATGGAGCAGTGAATGACAATGGAGTGTAGAGAAGTCGATACAACTTCAAACTTAGAATATACCAGGAGCCTGAAATCGTAACACATATTAAGATAGAATGTCTGAGGTGGATAAGGCATGTAATGCTGATGGAACAAGATAAGCTAGAAATAACCCAGCTAGAAAAACGCTCCTTGATAGACCCATTGGTCAGAGAAGAAGAGGGAGACTTAGAACACGGTTCCTTGATAACATTTATGAAGACATGCGAAATATGGGAATACATGCTTGGCAGAGAAATTACATGCTAGAGACGACTGGAGAGAAATTCTTGAGGAGGCTAGGACCCACATAGGATTGTAAAGCCAGAGTGATAATGATGACTTGCTTTAAGCAACACCATGGGATAAAGGAGATAACACTTCATGGAGAGAAGCTCAGTGGTAACGAACGGTGAGCTGAGGAATTTAAAAGTGAGTTCAAAGAGTTCCTTTCTCCAAATAATCTGAGCTACTAACAAATTTATAACACAGACCAATCAGGCCTCTTGTGGAAATGCCTTCCAACTCAGATGTTAGCTTTTGCAAGAAAAGCTAAAGCAGGTGGACACCAATCCAGCAAAAAATGGATAATGATTGTGTCTTGCAGCAATGCTACAGGAAGTCACAAACTGAAGTTGACAGTGATTGGCAAAGGCAAAAAAATCTAGATCTTTTAATGGCACTAGAGCACAAAAACTACCTGTTGATTACTTCAATTAGAGGAAAAGGAGGATGGATAAAAAATATTACAAGAGTGGTTGAAGTCAAATTTGTACCAGAGGTCAAAAACATTTAAAATCAAACAACTTGCCTCAAAAATCTGTATTGTTGATCGACTGACTACTTTCAAAAAGTATAAAACAAAATAAGTACACAATGAAAATTGTAAATTAAAGCTTTAGGTGAAAATATAATTTTATTTTTTTCATGTATGTATTTGACTTTCAGTTATGGCTTATACACGACAACTGTGCTACTCTACTCCATGTATAATCGGGAGTTGATTGTTGATGAATGAATTCTTTGGTTATAAAATCTCCAAAGTAGCTCATATCTTTTTAAATAAAAATGATATTCTGTTATAAATATGTTTTTATAAACCCATTTTAATTAATTCTTTGTTGATTCAAAACAGAAGTTAAACTAGTTGAAATTTGAATTCTTATTAGATGATGAAGTATTTTGTATTGTTACTTACTTCTGGATAGTTTTGTCCAAAAGATTCTGAAACAAGCAGTACATATTATTTTCTGAAACAATTAAATTCATGACAACGTACCTAAAAGTTCCAAATTCATATTTTAGTTTGAAACAATGCTTTTAAAAAACTGTAAAACAATAATCGTGACTTCTAACCGGCGTCTAAAAATGAAGGAATGAATACAAATAAATAGTTTACAAACACTAATAACCTCTTCTACGTGCCTCTACCTCTTCTTCTTATTCTTTTTTGGGCTGGCTCTGGCTAGTGGCTAATGCCCGTATTTATTGGCGAAGAACCGCAAAGTGGGCGACGCCTGGTGGTAGATTTTAAAAGCATCCACTTTGGGAAAAATCATGGGGAAAACATTAGTGGTGGGCTTCATAGTTCCTTTCTAGGAACTAGTTCCTTAGATCTAGTTCCTAAAAAGGAACTAGTTCCTAGAACTAGTTCTTTGGAACTATGACTAACTTTGCGATCAGATCGGTATGATCAATCTTGATATGAACCAGATCGAGTGTTTAGGTTCGATATTCGACATCACAAATAAAATAAAAGTAAAATATGGTAAACGATGGGAAACTAAATTCGAAGGCATTGGTTTAAATAATTATTTCACGAAAATAACGAAGTGGTTTTTTACTTTATCTAAACATATTTTGCTGAATTTTAAATCAAAATGCTATTATTTTTCTATGATTGTTGATTTGTTATTTATTTATTTTCTCTCTAAGAATTTTTTGTTCTTCAAAGTTTTATTTATAAACAAAATCTGTGCGATGTTAGACACATTGTATATATTTATATACTTTACTTACATAGCAATTTTTTTCGACGTAGAAGACAGGAAGTCGTAAAATTTAATTATATCGTTGGGTGTAAAAACTACATTCATTTTACATATTCCCAATTGTCAATACAAGCACGTGAAAGCCAAACACGATCATACTGATGTGTATCATATGATTTTAAAAAATATTTACTTTTGAAACTATAAGCGTAAGAATTTCTTAAAATTTAATCATTAAATCACAATTAAACTAAACCCTAAAAATATCATGACCAGTATATAATTTAACAATAACTATAACATAAATATAACACGGCTACTACACACAATTATAATAAATTAATCTAAGCACAGTATAATGTATATACGTATGTATGTACCTACAAGCTGAAGTTAAGTTACAGCCAACGATCAAGCATCGCATACCGGACCGATCACGATTATCATACAGTCCTCGTTCCTCGGAACTATGTTACTTCATCCACTAATCGGCTCCGGCTCGGAACTAGTTCCTTTTTCGTTTTCGTCGATCGAAGAAATACTTAGAGATGCAGTCCGCGCACAAATGACGGTATCAAATAGAAGATCAGGAGTGACGTTAATAGTTCCTCGGAACTAGTTCCATTTAATTTTCGGAACTATTTCATTTATAATATAAAATGAACTATGGTCTGTTTTTAAACCAGGAGGAGTAATTCAAATTTTCCGCGCCATAATGCTTGTTTGTAATTGGTCTAATCGCAGGCAAGTTTACCCCACTAAATTATGACATATTGACACTAATGACATTTGTGAAATTTTAAAATTCAAAATTTATATCGACGATTTTTTTCATTTTCTGAGTTATTCTTTTGATTTTTTAGATTTTTCGTTTGCATTTATATAAAAAACAGTTCTTTTCAGAACTATTTAGTGACATATTAGTGTTATTAAGATTACAATATGGATTCAATGCCAAGCTCTAGTGTTAATTATTCTTCTCCACCTAAAAAACGCAGAGTAGATTTGGGTCATTTATCTTCAAATGAGAAGCAATGCATTATAAACATGTATAAACAAATCAAAATTGATAATTCTGAATTAAAAATAACAGCTACGGTAGCAAAAATTAAACAGGCAACAGGTTAGTTTTACAGAATACTTATTGTTAAAATCAAGACTTACTAAAGTAATGTGTTAATTTTAGGTGTTGCGAATTCAACTATTTACCGCACAATAAAAGAGTATAAGCAGACTGGAACACTAAGATGTCCTAAAAATATTGGCGGTCGACCTTCCATCCTTGCAACATATGATGAAAAAGTTAAATCATCCGTACGCCAGATAGTACATAGCTTCTTTTTTAAGAATGAAATGCCTACATTAAATAAAATTTTAAGTGCAGTAAACAACCGCCCAGATCTTCCCAATATGTGTCGTTCATTATTATATAAATTCTTGAAGCAAATCAATTTTAAGTAAGTAAATATAGGTTAGTCAAAATTATATAGTAAACATAACGTGCAACCCAAAAATATATTATGTCTGAATTAGGAAATTAATTAGAAGATAAAAAGCTTTAAAAATTACTGAAAATATCGATTTGTTTTCTATTTTCTTTGCTTAAAACTTTAAAACCATTCATTTTGGAGCAAAGTCGTACAAAAATAAAATAAAGATAATTATTTCCTATTATACGAATAGAGGTTAAAAATGTCTTAATTTATTACCCTTGATGCAAAATAGCAATAAATACCATTAATCATTTCCTTCAATCCATTAATCCTAAATGCTTTAATGCTGTTATAAATAAATTAACAAAATATAACAACTTATTTTTTTCTATGTTGTAGACCCTAAATGCAACTTGTCTTATTTGAAAGCTGTATAAATTAGTTAAACATTATTTGTTTTATTAAATAATCTTTTAAATGGTCTCTAAATATTTCTATTTGTAACATTAAAAGGTGCACATGTGGTAAGTTTTTCTAAAAAAAATTCTACAACGTAGTAAGAAATACCTATGTGGTTTTATTTTGTTATAAATAAATTTATTTATTACAACAAAACTAAAGCCTTTTTGGCATTTAGAAGTGCGAAGTTAGGTAGATGTACGTTAGTTAGAAATTTTTTTTTATTTATTGTAATAAAATAAAACATATTTGGAACTTGATAATGCGCTATTTAGCTGGCTCTACTCAAGTTACTTCGGATTAAAAAAAAATGAAGAAAATTGCTCCATTTAAAGCTGAGAAAATGCATTTTTTTTATGTATACCGATTTTGAACTTTGAAATTAAACTTACTTCAACCTATTTTCTTTTTAAATTTTTGGTACTTTTATACCAAATTATCGCTCAATACCGATTGTTTTTGTTGTGTACTGTGTATTTAGTGTAGAATAAAATATATATTACTTGAAAACTACTTTATTTTAATATATATGTACAATACTAAAAACTATTATTCTTAACCTTCTGCTATGCGGTTCTCTCCTTTTCTTTTCTTTTACAATCTGTAAGTAATACAAACTTAAATATGTCTATACATCAACATTTTCTCCCTTAACAACGATATTTTTACAAATTCATTTTTACAATAGGTTTACATATTCTTGAAGTACTACGTAAGGTAGGTGTAACTTTGGTATCAGAAATTGTCTAATAGATTTGTCAAATAAATTTTTATATTTTGTAAACAATTGTTGTAACTCCTTTTCTGCAATTGAGACAGTGTTCACATTATGTAAATTTATATCTAATAAATGTATCCACTCTCTCCCAAGCAATGGGGGGCCTTTACCATCAACTATATATAATTTCAAGGATTTAGTTCTAATCTGGTGCTCAACTGTCACCAAAGCCATACCTAAAACATGTAATTCATTTTTAAAGTAAGTAGTTAACTTTGTATTAGTATTTTGTAATTGTAATTCAGTAAAATTCTCATTAAATACATTCTAAAACCATACCTAAAACATGTAATTCAATTTTAAAGTAAGTAGTTAACTTTGTATTAGTATTTTGTAATTGTAATTCGGTAAAATTCTCATTAAATTCATTTTTGTTAATAATATTTACTACAGCAACTTTTTTTTTTTTTTATAATTATGTTTATTTACAATCTACATCAAAAAAAGAGTATTAAGTAAATGTGATTACAGGTTTTGCGCGTGAAGGGGAGACATCCAATGATGTCTTCTTCAGAACTAAACCAAAGTAGAATAAGGTGAGACATCATTGGATGTCTCCCCTTCACGCGCAAAACTACAGCAACTGAGTAAACAAATTTATCTTTTGTCCTCTTTTCTTACAAAAATTACATACCAATTTTTTTTTACATTGAGTGGCTAAATGAGAAGCATCTCCACAACGATAACATACCTGTTAGTGTCTGAACTAGAATGTAATATTTGTATTTGTGTAATATTATAAAGTTTTAAATATTTTGAGCAATGAAATCTAGATTTATTAGATTGTAAAAAATTTATTGAATTTATTGCTGTCTTCTGTAATGCTAGTAAGAATTCTTGCACTGATTCTCCCTCGGCTTGCTTTCTGGTTTGAAACCTGTAAATTTCAGCAACTTCCAAAGGGACAGGATTGTAAAAATTGTCCATTAGTGTATTAACTTCATTGTATGTTTTGTCACATATTATATCATAGACTTCAGGACACATATAATGTAATAGCAAGTAATAAATAAGATCATTTCATATTTTGATCTATTTCAAACACTTTAAAAGATCCTTCTAGGAGTTTCACCCATCGTGACCATTTTGTAACTGATTCATTAAAAGATTTCACTACAGTTGACCACAGAATATTCCACTGTAAATGTAGAAGTAGAATGAATTTGTAATGTACTGGCAGTTGCAAAAGTAAAAATTTATTAATCCTCGTCGAGAATTGTTGTGTATTGTGTATGTAGTGTATAATATTAATTTATTTGTCTTTATTCTAATTTATTGTCTATATTCTAATTTATTAAAACTCACGATAACTAATTACGAATTTATTAAAGTCTTTATTAATCCTAATTACAAATAATTTATTAACGTTTCGTTACATTTAAATATCGCGGTTCGCGAGCTTCTTATAACTAACCCCTCAATGAAATTCTTCCGGTATTTATATGAAACCAGCTTGTAACAGAATGTTTGTAGAAAATACGATGCCGTTCTCGATCTCGACGTAGACACGGCGGCGACTGGTCTCAAAACATGTTCTCTATCGCTTGTCGCCCCCAGAACATTCGATTGTTGTTTGTCAGGTAGAATTTTTGACCTAGAAATTACGAGAATCAATACAAAAGAATTAGTCATAAAATATTTACAGTTCTATACGCCATAACATTTAAAATCGTAACATTGCCCCCCTCTTAAAAGATGGTTCCTCCTGGAACCTTGTCGGGACTGGAACTGGAACGACATGCTGATATCGGCAACTGGACCCTCTTTTAC